GGGTCAGGCAAAGAAGAAGCCAGCATAGAAGACTAGGATAAGCCAGTGGAGTGGGTAGGAAATCAGGAAAGTATGATATCCTGAAACCAAGGAGGAAAAGTGTTTTGATGGAGAAAGAGTGGATATTTGTGTTAAATGCTGTTTACAGGTTAAAGAATATTGCTACAGAATTTGGCAATATTGAGACCTCTGATGAACAGTTTTAGTGATGCGTTGAGGGTAAAGCCTGATTGGAGTGAACTGAGGGAATGAGAGGTAAAGAAATGAAGAGTATAGATTACTGTTTCAAGAGGTATTGCTGTGAAGAGAAGCAGAGACGCTGGGGTTGAAGTAGCTGGGAGGAAATATGAGATTAAGAGAGTTTATTATTTCTGTGTTTTGTTTTGTTTTTAAGATAGGAAATTCTAGAATCTTGATTTCAAATGTGGCCTCTGGATCAACTTGGGAACCTGTTGGAAATATAGAATCTCAGGTTCCACCCCAAACCCACTGAATCACAATCTGCATTTTAATGAGATCCCCAGCTGCCTTTTTTTAAAAAAAAAAAAAGTCTTTATTTATTTCAGAGAGAGGAATGGGGAGAGAGAGAGAGAAACATCAATGATGTGAGAGTCATTGATCAGCTGCCTCCCGCACGCCCTCACTGGGGATCAAGTCTGCAACCCGGGCATGTGCTCTGACTGGGAATTGAACGGCTATCCCCTGGATCATAGGTTGATGCTCAACCGCTGAGCCACTCCAGCCGGGCCCCAGCTACTTTTTATGCACGTTCAAGTTTCAGAAGCACTGTTCTAGAGGATGGCTTCTCAAGCTATCTGTGATGCAGGACCAATTAATTTTTTTCTAATCTGTCTGGGGCCTACATGTGGTACCACTATATCTGATTTGTAAGTAGCTGACTCCACCTGTGACTCACTCACTGTGAGTTCAACACTCTTACTCGTTTAGACCCTGTTTGAGAAGTTCACTGGTCATCTGCTTGGATGTTGCTGCAATGTCCTCTTGGTACACAAATGTCTAAATGCTTACTCTCAATTTCTGTACTTCTCATGGTAACAGTTTGTGAGCCAGTGCTGGTTTGTAGACCGTACTTCAAGTAGCATGTTTGTATGGTGATGGGCATGAGTTAAAGAGAAAAATGATGATGTAAGAGAGAGTAGGGATAATTGCATATGAAGATAAGGGGATTGGATCCATAATAGATAGGAAAGGTTGTACTTTACATACCAACAAGGACTCTTCATTCTAACAGTAGGGAGAGAAAGCTGGTATATTGTTAGATTTGGAGTTAGGAAGATGATGGTGTGAATGTTGCTTCTTGGTGACAAGGTTATTAGCTGATAGGGGCTGGAGGTTGATTCATTTTCAATTTTTTTAATCCTCCCTGGAGGATATTTTTTCCATTGCTTTTCAGAGTGGAGAGGAGGGGAAGAGAGAGAGAGAGAGAAACATTGATGTGAGAGAGAGAGACATTGATTGGTTGCCTCCCGCATGCACCCCGACTGGAGTTCAGGATCGAACCTGCAACCGAGGTATGTGCCCTTGGCCGGAATCAAACCCGGGACCCTTCAGTTACAGGCTGGCTCTCTAACCACTGAGCCAAACTTGCTAGGGCGTTTGTTCTGTAGTTCATTTGTAATTTTGATGTGGCCATGTTTACCTATACTCTGCTATCTTGACTGGAAGCTCAAGATGTCATACATATTGTTATTGGAAAGGACCTTAGTCTGTCTTTTTTGTTCATCTGATGAAACTGAGACCCAGAGAGTATAAAAAAAGACTTTTTCTGAGATCTGACAGTATGTTAGTGGCAGAACTCCTGGCTCAAGGTTTTTTATGCTTAGGAGGCACCTCTTCTTTCTCTGTTTCCCAGAAAAGAGCACTTGCTCTGAATTCTCTTCCCTTGTACGCAGGTGAGGTGGGAGGTGAGAGAGAAAAAAAGGCAGGGCTTAGAGAAATTGATATGTCTTCAGCAGCTTATGTTTCTTCCTCCACTTTTACAGAGTGTCCTGAACTCCAGCATGAAGTGACTTGAGTGTGGGAAGCTGGTCAGTGATGGCATTCAGATTAGCTGCGTTTACCAGCCTAGGTGACACTGGGTTGGCTCTCACCAGGCTGCTGGCACTCTTCAGCCCCAGACCCACTGATTGATTGGTCCCACCCCATTCTGCTGTCTTCACCTTGTTTACCAGGCTGGCTTTTTGTTGAAGAGACTGCATAGGGCAGAAAAAACTTTTTAAAATCCCTTCTGGCTTTTTTTCTGAACAGTACTGAGGATGCTACCTCAGCAATTATAGAGGAAAAAACAACTGTTTCCTGCTTCTCAGTATACACAGTGAGGCACTAGATTTGATTTCTAGGACCTAGGATATTGTGGTTATTTCAGATTTAAATTTTTATCCTACCTTCTCATTTCCCACCTTTACCCTTTCTTCTTTGCTTATATCTGGATCGCCTCAAGAGGTTAATTAATAGATGAGGGGTGACCAGTCCCAACAGAGTTGCAGGTAATGGTTTCTTCATGATCCCTAATCATTCTGGTTCTCAGATCAGTTTTTCTGACACCAGAAAGTAAACTTATCATTGTGTACACTCACCTGAAAGGCCTGAGGGTGGTGGTTCTAGAGACTGCAGATGACCCAGAGTTATTTCAGCTCAGATAATATCTATTGATCCACCTTCAAGTTTCCGTGTCTCTTTTCTCTGTCAATTCCATTCTGGTTCTTAAGCTCATTCAGTCTATTTTTAAAATTTCAGATACTGCTTTTCTGTTCTAAAATTGCCACTTTGGAAATGTACACTTGAAACCTATATAATCTTATTGACCAGTGCCACCCCAATAAATTTGATAAAAAGGAAAAAAAATTGCCACTTAAAATTTTAAAAAAATTTCTCTACTTAGTTACAGTGGCCGCTTTAGTATCCTTGTCTGATAATTCCAACATCTGGGTTATCTTGGACTTGTCCTCTGATTATCTTTAACCTTGCAAAGGGGTTTAATTTCTAGTTCTAAATGTAATTTGGGTTTGTAGCTTTAACGTAAATGAATGTGAGTGTTATGTTATGGAGACTCTGGTTTCCATTGATGTTTTCATTTTAGTGGGCAGTTAACTTGGTTAAAACAGCAAACTCTGTCTTACCTGTGGTGGGTGGCAGTTCAAATCTCAGTCTAGTTCTTTTGTCCTTTGCTGAGGTCCTTGGATTCTGCGCAGTGCATACTTGGTTCAGGGGTCAGCTAGAGATTTGGGCAGTTTCTACATGGAACCTGGGACTCTCCTTTTGTGGCTTATTATCTGTGGCTGCTCTGGGCTCTGTCTTTGGTTCGCATGGACAGAAAGCCTAGGGCTTTTATTATTTATTTATTTCTTAAATTTTTATTTGTTGATTGATTTTAGAGAGAGCGGAAGGGAGAGGGAGACATACAGACAGAAACATCGACCTGCCGCTCCACCCATTCATGCATTCACTGGTTGACCCCTGTATGCGCCCCAACTGGGGATCCAACCTGAAACATAGGGTTTGTTTTTTTTTAGTTGGAACTTAAGATGTTTAAAAATTGTTATCCAGATTTTATAGTTGTTATCTGCGGGAAGATTATATTGGAAGCAGAATTCCCTACTAATATTTTTATCTCTTATCAAAGTGTTTTGGGAAAAAAGTGATACGTATTTAAGAGAGCTTTAACCTTTAGCAGGCAAGTGAGGATGGACTGGTGCATTTGTTCAGTGTGGCTTGTTAATTATCTCAGGCGGACTCAATCGTATTGACTTTAACTTGCTCTGCAACTTTGGGCAAGTAAGTCTTTTTTCTTCCTCTCTGGGACTCACTTCCTCCTCTGGAAAATGAGGCATTTGGTGTCTCCATAATCTGTAAGGGTCCTTTCATTTCTGCTTCTCCATGGACAGACACATGTACACCATCACCACCAACAGTAACAAGAAGCACAGAAAAGATGCCTGAGGGAAGTGATATGGGTGGATCTGTCAGGGTGGAAACTCTCTGAAGGAGCAGCACTAAAGAGGTTGAGGATATTTACAGCCATCCTCTTGTTTCTGGGGACGGAAGGCTGGTACGCTGAGGATACAAGAAGTAAGTCATTGAGAAGCAGAGGAAAGAAATCATTTGCTGCTTGTTTCCGCCCCTGAGAAATAGGAGAGAACGTAGACAGTTGAAAACAAATCAGAATCACCCGGAGTTCCTGTTTGTTTGATTTTGGGCAGTACATTTTATCCTGTTTGAGGATAGCCCCCAGGGCCTTAGTAATATGCCAGTAAATTTGGCAGTAGGTGGTGGGGGCAGTAGCTGTGAGTAGGGGTGCTACTTTCACTGTTAGGGCTGCAGAGACCTTAGTGGAGATAGGCCAGATTTATGGGGCCACTTCCTAGAGTTCAGAATTTGTATGTGGGAGAAGTTCTAGACTATGTGGAGGAAAGTATGTGTGTGTGTAAGGTTGGTGGAAAGGGGTAAAGGGACAGGGGACAGGTGATGGGAGAAGGCAGGACAGAAGAAGTTCTGTGGACCAGTTCTGAAGGTGTTTGAATAGCAATCACTTATTTTACTTAGAATAGTCTTTTTAAAAGTGCGTGTGTGGGAGAGAGAGAGCCAAAGCTTCTTTCACACACACTCAGGCCATCCCTTGGGTGCTGCCCCTGGTACAGGTCCTTTTTTCTACTTTTTTCCCTACCTATTTTCATTGCTTATCAAGAATTCTTTTCTCTTCAGGTCTTATTGACTCAAGGCTTCAGGCCCTCATCTTTTTAAAAAAGCGATTATAAAAATATTTCTCCATCTTAATGCTAGCCTTCTAGCTCTCTAGGGGGATAGAGATAGGGATAGATTCTGTGTATGTATGTTATGGTATTGGTGGTAGAGGAGTGGAAATCATCTTTAGGGGACCAGCATCCTTCTTAGGAGGTCAAAACGTGGTTTGCAAGATATGGAAGGGGAGGGGTGGGCAGTTGTGATGGAAGGAGAGGGGGATGGTTTGAGTGTAAGACCATGTACAAAAGCTGTAGTTTTATCACTAGCTTAGTTGTCTTTCCATTCTTCCTCAAGGTTAGGATAGACAGAAGTTTGACCCAGATCTTCCACCTTCAGTAACTTACATTAGGGGTAAGTTTCAATGGGTTATTACGCTTTTCAACGCTCTCGTAGGAAGAAGACTTGTTACAAAACTGAAGGGTAAGCTTGCAGTCAGAGAAGCTCTATTTTTAGTTTTAATCAATAATGGGTTGTTGGGGGCCCTTTTGAAGACCCAGTCTAGAAGGCAACCCAATGAGAGTGGTGAAGTGCCTTTTTAGGCCAGACAAACTTGGATTTAAATTCTGACTGTCTAGTTACTAGCAAGCTGTAAGACCTTGGACAAATCACTTGACTTCTTGAAATTTAGTTTCTTTATCTATAAGGGGTAACATTATTGTGTTATTATCTTATCTAAAACATAAAACACATTGCATGGGGTGTGGTAGATAGCCAACTGATGTTTGTTTTTCTTACCCACCTTCCAGAACATCTTATTTTTAGTAGAATCCCAGCTTTAGTTCTATGCACTTGTGTAACTCACCCTTTCCAAGCTTCAGTTCCTTTCTTAAAATGAGGGCATTTAACTAGTTGATTTCTGAGATCCTTCCCAGCTTTAAGATTTCATATATGGATTTTTAGACTATTGAGGAATGTATAGGTCTGTTAATTTAAGGAAAAACAATGTAGTCTGTACTGGGACCATATCATCCTTTAGGAAAGGGGACATCTCCTGGAGTCAAATTCCTCCTCTCCCCTGGGAAAGAGATAGCCGGCTTTCTTCAGAGTCAGTAGCATCTGAACTCACATTCTGCTTTGTCTCTTTTCTGACACTACACTGTATATGATGGTCTTTGGGACAGGCCTTTGGTTCACCTTGCTCAGTCTTAGTGCAATTTATGTTTTACCTATTTCTTCTTTCCTCTTCTGACCAGGTCAAGAGGCAGATGCCATTGAAAGATAGTGAGTGACTGTTTCCAGGACAACCACCATTGGGGGGAGCAGCCGGAAGCATTGACTGAAAGCTTAAATTACCTAAATGGTAAGTAGGTTGTGAAGTGAAACCTGCCCACACTGATAGCATTGGGTAGTTTATGAAGTCTGCAATTTTTCCACCATTACGAGAGAAGGAGGAAAGTCAGTATTTGTTTATGACCATTATGAACCATATATTACGCTAAGTATTTCACATGATTTCTCATTTAATCAACCAGCCACTGTAATGGAGGAAAATCTTTGCATGAAGTTGACAACCTGTAATAGGCCTAGCTACCATTTACTGAGTACTTACTGTAGCCCAGTCCTATTTGACATATGTTATTTCCCTGTGAGGTAAGTGCTGTTATTATCACCATGAGGAAATGAGCATAGAGAGGTTCAATAGCTTTTCCAAATTCACACAGGTAGTAAATGGTAGAACGAGATTTCAAACCTGGGTTATTTTCATTGTACTTGAATGTCTCTTGAGAAAGTTACTTTTTGGTTGAGGCAGTGACTGACTTAACCTTTAAAAAGCAAAGCAGAATAAACAGATTTAAAAAAACCTTTCGATTGATAACTAGCTCTTATCCCTAGGGTTCTGTGTGCCAGTATTTTATTGGTTGATGTTGACCAAGGAAGTGGGAAGTACTAATGAAATAAAAGAAACTTGAGCAGTGAGTGCCCAGAGGGCCTTAGAACAACCATGGCAAGACCTTTGGAGTGCATTTTATTCTAAGATGGGAGCCACTGGAGAGGAGAACAGCAGTCTTGGTCACCAGTGGTAGCTGGATAATGGTTAGAGAAAGGTTCTTTTGGAAGATCGAGCAGTAGGGCAACCAGAGATAGTGTCTGGGGACTGGGTTCCAGGCATAGGAGTGACTGGATGGAAAGGAATCTTAGCGAGACCTTTCACCTTCACTTTCATGGTAACCCCTGCTACAAAATAGGCATAGTTAGGATAGTAGAGAGCTTCTCTTGAGGGAGTAGGAAACTTCCTTTGAGGGAGTGGGAAACTTCTAGACAAACTCTTGCCCTGTTAATTGGTTCAGGATTCTTGTTCTGTCCCTTTCCCTGGAGCATTTTTCCTACCTTAGGGAACTGGGTTATGAAATTAATTTCTGGTTGGGTGGAGTGGCAGCCAGTGTTCATTTGTTCATTGATGTTTCTGATGACACTTCAGTCTCTTTTCATTGGTAAATAATCATTTTCACCAACAAACTTATTCTACACACCTATTATATATAGAATATTTTGGTATATACTGGTGCTTATGTTCTAAGTTTTTATTTTATTTTATTGATTTTTAGAGAGAGAGGAAGGGAGAGAGAAACACTGATTTGTTGTCCCATTTATTTATGCATTCATTGATTGATTCTTGTATGTGTCCTGACTGGAGCATCAAACCTCCAACTTGGCATATTGGGACAGTGCTCTAACCAAGTGAGTACCCAGCGAGGGCCAAGGGCTTATGTTCTGATGTTAAAATTGACCACTTTACTACATGCCTAGCACAATTCTTGGAACTAAGTAGTCAGCCTTAAATAAAACAGAAAAAGTCCTTGCTTTCAAGGATTATATTCTGATGGGAAGAAATAGATGAAAATAAATGAATAAACAAACAAATAGGCAAGTAGATACATAATGTCCACAAAAGCAGGGTAAAGTGATAGTGTTGGGGAGCTGAGGGATTGCTGCTTTATATAAGGTGATCAGAGAAGGCCTCTGATGAGGTGATATTTTAAGCCAAGATCTGAAAGAAGTGGGGAATCCAGCCAGGGAGGTATCTGGGAGAAAAGCATACCAGGCAGTGGGAACAGCAAGTGAAAAAGCCCTGAGGTATGGCTGTGACTTGTCATGTCCAGGGACCCACAAGGAGGCCAATATGCTGGAGTGAAGTAGCAGGAAAAGAGCAGTAGGAGATAAGAGCAGAGAAGTAATGGGACCCAGATCACCTAGTGCCTTAGGGCCAGGGCAAGACCTTTGCAGTGCATTCTAAAGTGAGGTGGGAGCCACTGTAGAGTGGAGAACAGAGGAGTGACATGTTTTGACTTGGGCTTTATTTACTTATTTATTTCAGTCCTCACCCAGGGATATGTCTTTTTATTGATGTTGAGAGAGAGAGAAAGAGAGAGAGAGAAGCAAACATCAATTGGTTGCTTCCCTTACGCACCCCGACCAGGGATTGAACTACCTAAGTGTGTGCCCTGCCCTGGAATTGAACCCGCAGCCTTTTTGGTGTACAGGACAATGTTCCAGCCAGCTGAGCCATCGACCAGGGCACCTTTTTGTGTTGTTGATGGTTCCTTCTGCTGTGCCGAAGCTTTTTAGTTTGATACAGTACCATTCATTTATTTTCTCTTTTACTTCCCTTGCCTTTGAGGTCAAATTCATAAAATCTCCTCTAAGACCAAGGTTCATAAGTGCAAGTACTTATGTTTTCTTCTTTATAATTTATTCTTTCAGGTCTTATATTTAGGTCTTTGATTCATTTTGAGTTGATTTTTGTTTATGGTGATAAATAGCAGTCTAGTTTCATTCTTTTGCATGAATAAATTTTCCCAGCACCATTTATTGAATAGATTTTTCTTTCTCCATTGTATGTTTTTGGCTCCTGTGTTGAAAATTATTTTCCCATATACATGTGGGTTTATTTCTGGGCTCTCAGTTCTGTTCCGTTGATCTGTGTGTCTCTTCTTCTGCCAATACCATGCTGTTTTGATTACTGTCACTTTGTAGTATAACTTGAAGTCAGGGAGTATGATATCTCCAAACAACCCAAAACTCATAGACACAGACAGTATTATGGTGGTTACCAGAGGGAAAGGGAGGGAAGTGTGTGGAGGTTAATAAATGGTAAAGGAGGTCAAATATGTGGTGATGGAAGGAGATTTGACTTTGGGTGATGAACACACAATGCAATGTGCAGGTGCTGTATTATAGAATTGTACACTTGAAACTTATAATTTTATTAACCAATGTCACCTCAATAAAGTTAATTAAAAAAGTTTTTTTTTAATCCTAAAACTGAGTAAAGGGTGAGAACAGTGACCCCTAAAAGCCAGCTTGTGTTCACTAAGAGTAAGTCATGCTAACTGGCAAGAATTCCTTTTTTTTTCCTTTAAGCTTTGCCATGATTTTACTTAAACTATAAAATCAGTACATTTATTATAGGACTTTTAGAAAATAAAGAACCCCCCCCCC